TTTATTGATGGACATAAAGGCTGCTTCCAAGATTTATCTATTATATAACCATGCTAGGTCTAGCTATGTAGTTCAGGTTGACCTTGAACTCACTTTGTAGCAAGCGGGGCCTCAAACTTGCGGCAATTCTCCTGACTCAGCCTCCTGAGTGCTGGGATTATAGGTATGCACCACCACACCAAGCTGAATAATACACTCAAATATTTGAGGCTTCATGGAGGAATTCAAAGAAGTTTTAAAATTTCTACAATGGAATAACAATAGAATTAATGAGTGCACCTTGAGATCATGATAAGTGAACTGAATCAGGCACAGAAAGGTAAATGTTGCATGGTATCTCTTACATGAGAAATTCAACCTATAAATAATTTAAAGAACAAAAATAAAGATGATACCAAACAGAGCAGTAACTTGGAGGAGTTGCAAAGGGAATCTGAGGATGGAGAATGAGATGAAAGGTTAAGGAGAGGAACAGAAAGTAAAAATGATTAAGTTGCAATCTGTACATGTACTAATTCCCCAAGATAAATAGACTTATTATGTTTTGCAAACATATAACAATTTTAAAAAGAAACTAAAAGATAAAAGACAATGTCATTACAATATGTCATAATCTGTGGGACATAAAGCAGTCCTGCGCAGGAAGTTTATGAGTGTCTACATTAGAAAAACAGAGTCATCCTAAATAAATAACCTACAGTATATCTCAAAGTCCTAGAAAAACAACAATAATCCAAACCCAAAATAGTAAATGGAAAGAAATTATAAGGATAAGAGTAGAAATTAATGAAACTGAGATTAAAATATAATAAAGGATCAATGCGTGGTTTTGTTGAAAGGATAAATAAGATTGATAAACTTTTAGCCAAACTTACCAAAAGAAAAAGACAAAAGACCCACATCAATAAAATTAGATGAATTAGAAGTGAAAAAGATAGTCACCAAAGACCATTGAAATCCAGAGGATTATTAGAAACTATTTTAAAAACTTATATTCCATATACTCCAATAAATTGGACAATGTGGATGAAATGAATAAATTCTTCAATATGTACAACTTACCAAAATTGAATCAAGAAGATATGAAAACTCTGAACATAAGAACAACCAATGGAAGTTATGCAGTAATCAAAATTCCACCAAGTAAGAAAACACCAGGACCTAATGTGTTCACCACTAAATTTTACCAGAACTTTAAAGAAACGTTAATATCTGTTCCATAAAATTGAAAGGAAGGAGTGTTTCCAAACTCACTCCATCAAGCCACCATTATCCTGATACAATAACCAGATAAGGATACAACAAATGAAAAAAGAAATGAAAAGAAAAAGTGTAAGGAATAGAAAGAAAACTACAGGCCAATATCCTCCAAGAGTGTAGATACAAAAACACTCAATAAGATATTTTAAAACAGAATTCAACAAATCATTAAAAAACTATATACCAAGACTAAATTGGTTTCATGCCAAGGATACAACAATGGTTCAACATATGTAAATCCATTAATATGACACACAATATAAATAGAATCAAGGGTAAAAAATTATTTTAGTAAATACAGAATAAAACCTATACCAAAAATCCAACTTTCCTTCCTTCACAAAAACCCTCATTAAAATAATTATAAAAAGTCTTTATCTTAAATGGATAAAAGCCGTATATGACAACCCACAGCCAACATCATACTAAATGGGGAAAAGTCAGGAAATAGACAAAGATATCCAGTCTCGTCAATACTTCAATACAATACTCAATACTTTAGCCACAGCAATTAGTCAACCAAAAGAAATAAAATGAATACAAATAGGAAAGGAAAAAGTCAAATGATCTCTAATTGTAAATAATGTGATCCTTTGCATAGAAGATGCAAAAACTTCACCAGAAAACTCTTACAACTGGTAAACAAATGCAGCAAATTGTCACAATACAAAATTAACACAAAAAACCAATAGTGTTGCTGTTCACCACTAATGAAGTTACCTAGAAAGAAATTAAGAAAACAGTTTCATTCGTGATGGTTTCACGATAAAGAGCGAAATAAAAGACAGACAATAGGAAGTAGGGAGAAAGATCTTTCTCAAATGGGAAAGGGATCAAGAGATGGAGGGGAGACGGGATAAAAACAGGAATTAAGAGTGGTATGTATATCCACCAACGTCACACAAAGCAAGTCAAAGTTATTTACTGTAAACGTGCTAATAAAAGAGGGGGGAAAGCTAGTCACAGGTGTTAGGTATTTAGTATAACAACTAGATACAGGAAAGTATCCTTTACTAAGCTAGGAAATACAGGAAGAGAGTTAGTTCATATAAAATATATTGAGTTGAGGTACCTGTGAGTACTTCAAAGGAAGACAGTGAGTATTCAGCTGGATGTATAGTTATAAAGCTCAATAGAAAAATTAGTCATCCTAGAAATGTAAAATAGGGCATTCTCCATGCCTCAGTTAAAATGATCATTGATAACTGGCACATTTAAAGCATACTGTGTAAAAGATCACTCAAGTAATCCTCTTAAACTTCCAGAAATTATTATCCAATGATTTTAACCTCAAAGCCATCAATAAGTACCTGTTCTTTTCTTAAAACCATTAACAAAGACTGGGAGTGTAGCTGAGCGGTAGAGCACTTACTTGCCTAGCATGTGTGAAGCCCTGGATTTGATCCTCAGTTCCAAAAAAAATAAATAAGTAAAAATAGTAAATCACATTTTATTTCTTGATCAAGGTGGAAGCAACTCATACCTTTGCTTTATAAAAATCAATGAAGTTGTACATTTATGATTTATATACAATTTTCCATATATGTAAAATAAAAATTTTAATAGACAAGAAATTTAAATACCTAAGATTTAACCTAACCAAGGAAGTGCAAGACCTCTGTAAAGAAACTACAGAACTTGAAGAGTATGTTGAAAAATGGAAAGACATCTCCTGCTCCTACCTAGGAAGAAATAAAATCATTATAATGGCCATGTTACCAAAAGTGATACATAGTTTTAATGCAATCCCTATGAAAATACCGGCAACATTATTTTCATAACTAGAAAAAACAATCTAAAAACGTATACAAAACCAGAAGAGACCTACAATAGCCAAGGCAATCCTGAGCAAAAAGAGCAAAGTGGGAGTCATCAAAATTCTATAACTGGGCTGGGGATGCAGCACCTGCCTGACAAGTGCAAGGCCCTGAGTTTGACTCTCAGTACCCCTCCCCGCCAAAAATTCTGTAGCTCCTTTGAAGAAGTGGTTGGTTGAGGATTATGACAGGGAAGACATAAGAGAATCTTATAGCATCTTATGGTTTCCAAAAGTAAAGAAACAATCAAAAGAGGATAGTACATGTCAAAGAGACTTAAGAATCAACTGGGAAGTGTTCCTCATGGCTAAAACAGGAACACTCTGAATGACAAAATAGCTATCATTGTATGGGATTATAATCCATAGAATACACAGAATATCCATGGATATTTATTTATTTCTATGGATTCATGGATATAAATAAATAAATAAATAACTGAGAAGTGATTAATGGTAGAAGAAAAAATCTTCCAATTAGGTGAATTTTGGTTAATATGTTTTGAAGAAAAATAAGATTGCCATTAGGCAAGCATTGAAATAATAGCTGTTTCAGGAGAGACATACTAATGGATGTTAAAATCAGTGGATGAGAGTTTAAGCAGAAAGGATACTTACGTAGTCTCAAAATGTCTCCCCAATGTTAATATATGATTATTACAAAATATTCAGTAGTTACAGAAGGGAAAGTACAACCTTAGTAGACATCACAGTAATAGGACATACTGATAGCTTGTACCTCTCACACAGTGCACTGAGAAGAGCAGGTTGCCTGTCTTGTGTACTTCCTGATAATGCATGATCTCACATTGAAAAAGTCAGAAAAATACCAAATTGAAGGACATTCTACAAAATTATGAATGGGCACACTTCACAAGCGTCAAGAAGCTGGGTGTGATGATGCATGCCTATAATTCTAGCACTCTGGAAGGCTGAAGCAGGAGGATTGAAAATCCAAGCACACCTTGGGCTCTGTTTCTAAGATGACAATATGTAATCTATTAACTAGTGATTTCTTACTGTATATTTTTTTCTTAAAATTCTGTATGACTTGTACCCTTTTACTGCTTTGTGTTTTTTTTTCTCTTTAAATAAAAAAAATAAAATTTAAAACAATGATTTGTGATGCAGTCTAGAAAAAGAACATTTGCTTAGCGTGTTCAGTGTCCTGGGTTCAATCCCTAGTATTACAAAAACAAAAGTATCAAGGACATGAAAAACAAGGAAAAACTAAGAAACTATCACCAAGGGGAAGAGACTAAGATTAAGGAGATGTGACAACTAAATGCAGCATAGGATTCAAAATTACATCTTGGAACAGAACAAGGAACATTGATGGAAAAACTGGTGAAATATAGACAAGTTATGTACTTTGGTTGATAGTTTTATAACAAAGTTAATGTTTTAACTCGGATGAAAGTTCTATGATTATATAAAATGTTAATATGTGATCTTTGTGGTTAATAGGTATGTTGGAATTTTGCTATATTTGCAACTCTTCTGTAAATCTCAAATTATTCCAAAATCTTAAATACTTTTTTAAAAGCCTATTCTCTCTTATAAACTGTAAGAACTGTAAGAAGGACCATGTAGCTTAGTACCTTGCCTATCACTGAATTACCCTAAAGTAAACAGCCATTTAGAAGACACTGCTTCAGTAAGAGCCTATATCTGAGCCTTCACTTGAAATAAAAATTTTTTAGACAGAATTTCACTCTGTAGTTCAACCTGGACTTTAATTTGCCACTTGGCCTGGGCTGGTCTTAAACTTTCAGAAATCCTCTTCTCCACCTCCTAAGAGCTGGGATTCCAGACATGGACCATTTTTTGTTTTTAAGCATCATGTCTATATTGGTGAGAGATCAGTACATGTAGATGGTGCAGAGAATATATTTCTGATTATATTTTCACTATCTATTCACAGGGTCGTTACGGTTGCTGTCGTTTTCTACGAGATGGATATAAAACTCCTAAAGAGGTAGATTTATTTTCCCCAAAATGAACACATGATACAATGGTAATATCTATCTGCATCCTCTTTGAGAAAATATACTTACCTTACTGGTGATACTTATATGGATCACTAAGTGGGATAATAATCCCTGATATTTGCAATATTTTTGGCCTTAATTGATATGCCTTCTGTTTTGGAGCCTTTCAGAGTTAAATAAAAATAAAAAAAAAAATAAAACAAAGTAATCTTGCAGTTGGTTAGATTCAGGAAAGAACTACTACCAAATGTGAAATCAGTGGACACAAGTTTAGCAAAAACAGAGTAAAATGTAATTTCCATTGTCTCAAAGTATCTCCTCCTGAAATTCAGTAATTGTAAAGGGAATTTTATATCAGCACAGTACATCTGTCTGGATCCCTGTTATAGTCCATTTTCTCTTGCCAATAGCATAATGTAAGAGAGTGGGTAACATTTAAAGGAAAGAGGCTTACCATATTTATTTTGGTTCTGAGGTACAAGGTCAAAGGTCCAAATCTGGTGGTGAGCGTCTTGCTGGCAGAGTCCTAAGGTGGTTGAGAACATCGCACTGAAAGAGATAGGGAGCACAAGTGTGTATGTGAGTCTCTCTTAATCTTCTTATAAAACCATCAGGATTGTCTTGGAAGCACTACCCTAATGACCTTATGGAAATCTAACCCCATCACAGAGATCCCACCTCTAAAAACCGTAATTTGATTAAGTTTGCACTATCCTAACAGCTCACAATGAGGCTCATGAGGCACATACTTAAACCAAATCTAAAGTATAGGGCCACCCTCCCAGGGTTTTTTGTTTGTTTGTTTGTTTTTGGTTTTGTTTTTTTAATGAAACAACAGTAGCAAAAGAAGAAAAAAAAACAATGATACAGACTTTCGAAACAAAATAATAGGAAATCAACACTTGTTAATATATTGCATATTGCTATCTTAAAAGTAGTTTTCAGTTGATTAGTCTCAACATTACTTGAACTTTTTTAAAAAAGGTAAATTCTTCCTGTTCTGCTAGTCAAAAATTCTCCTTGGAAGTATCAATGGGGAAAATTAAATGTTATTAAAGGATAATACAAACACTGTTTAAGGCTTAAGTATGCTGATACAGAGACGTTACAGTTTTTTAATCAAGCTCAAACTCTTCTCGTCTACTTCCTGCCTTCTACCATTCTACTTAAATTATGGTCTGAAACATCACCATAACCTCCTAAATTACCAATCCAACTGTCTTTTTCCCAATTATTCTCTTTAACTTCTCTATAATACATCACTGTTACCCTATGTACACTTTCTTGAATTTGTTTTTCTTACTTTAATTTGCATAATAATACCTTTTCCTGATTCTTCTTTCAGTCCTTTCTTAACCCTAATCTGATGATTTACTAATGTTCCATTTTTGGGCAGTTTACTCACTTAATATAGTGCTTTTCCACAAAACTAATTTATAACTTGTGCTTCATGTGTCACCTCTATAAAGATGATTCCTAAACCTTTATCTGTACCTGGCCTTCTAAGCATTTCTATTTACACATCTTACTGCTATCTCAAACTTAACAAGTATAAAACCAAATTCAACTTTATTGCAAACAAGTTTTACTTTTTAAATTCTCTCCTATGCTGTTATTATTATTCTGAGTTCACTAGATATGTCATCTCATGGAGTACTTGCTAAAGAAGAGAGATAGTACATATGCTGCCTTTCCCAATTAGCTTGTCTAAAATGAACTCTCAGTAATGACAATGTCATATTGAACACAGAGGAGAAGTTTTAACTCTGAACCAAACATGCATGTCTAAACTCAGAGTGATAAGATAGGCTTTGTTCATTATGTTACTACTAGGATCCCAATCGTCTCTACTATGAGCCAGCTGAGCTGAAGCTATTTGAAAACATTGAGTGTGAATGGCCACTGTTCTGGACGTACTTTATCCTTGATGGGGTCTTCAGTGGCAACACAGAACAGGTAATCAGATGGGAAAAGAACTGTTCAGCAGATTGTTTTTATTGTTAGATCTTTTTTTTTCAGTTGATAGCTGTACTGATTTTGTCCAAATGGAGTTCTTCCTAATAGGGAAGAAAGAGTTGTCCCCTAGAGACTAATAACTGAAGATACTCAATTAAAACTTGGGATATCTGGATTCTGTTTATTTGTTGTTTGTTTTACTTTTGGGCTTTATTGGGGGGTTTTGTTGAGTTTGTGTGGGGAGCTTTTGTTTGTTTTTTGGGTTTTTGTTTTTACTTCAACAACTGAGTAGCCCAAATATTGTCACTAACTCCTTCAATTTGCATGTGATAATCACTTTATTCATTAAAAATATATTAAAATTTTTTAAAAATTTAGAGTATATAAATGTTAACTGCCTTGAGTTGATTATTACACACAGCATACAAGGATAAAATTATCACAATGTATCACATAGATTTGTACAACCAAAATAATTTTTTAAATATATCCCTAAAATTCTTTGAATTTCACAGGTAAAGATCTGTTTTAAATTCAAAGTACTGTCAGTTATTCTATAATGACACTATGTATTCCTAAAAATTATGTATATTCATGAAATAAAAGCTAAAGGGATTATGAAAAATGGATTAAGTAACAAAAGAATAGGAACATAATAAAAGAGTTCAACAGCTTTCTACTTATTAACAGTTCAGAAATACATAAACACTGTGATAGTTATGATACTTTTACCTTGAAAAGACCTAATTTGCTTTTGCTTGTAGAAGTATGTGCCCTGGTGCCCACCAGCTCATTTACTGGGCACCCATGCTTGCCAGCCTGTGTGCAAGAGGAAGACAACAAAAGAAACACAAAAAAGAATGAGAGAAAAGGAAGATTTGTGCTTGACCCATTTTTATGCCTACAGTTTCTAATCTGAGCAACTACTTTGAAAATAACAATGCACAATGTATCAACCATTATTACTCGGCTATTGTATTGTTTTTAAATTTAATATCACCATTTTCTTGTTTTTTCTCTTTAAAATAAAAAAAGAATGAGAGAAATTAGAGGAAAAGAACACAGAGGAGAAATTTTAAAGCAGGCTGAGAGAGAGTAAAGAGATAGGAAATTAAAGAGGAAGGCACATAGCAGCATTGCCAGGGCAACTATCAAAGGGCTACAACTTGTGAGTTATCAATTAGTGAAAGGAGAGTTATCTGAAGGAGGGTGATATGAAAGTGAATGGAAAGTTGTAACAGCAGATGTGGATGCATGTGGTTTATTGTCCTCCTGAGGTGTGTGCATGTATGTGTTTTGTTTACTGTTATACAGCTCAGCTTAGCTGAGTGTGTTCCCAGGATAAAATGCATAAGCAAGCATGAAACTCTTGTTATGTTCAAATTGTTCTTTAATCTATCACACGCATTGTAGAAAATTTGTTTTTCAAAACAAATGTTATAGCAGATTGTTTTTCCACTGTTTTTTCCACTGCAACCTACAGGTTTTGTTGTTTTATTTCTGTGGTACTAGAGATCAAAACCAAGGCCTCGTGCATATTAGATAAGCTCTCAACTACTAAGCTACATCCTGATCCCCTGTTTTGTTTTACATTTTATATATTCCTAAGTTTCAGAAAAATTTTTAAACAAAGAAGATAAACCTGCCCATTCTAGAAATTGAATTTGGCAGGGAAAATAGTGTTAAAAGTGAATACATTCAAAAATCAAGAAGGTGAAACATGGTGGCCCAAACATGCCTTTGGAGGCCAGCTGACTAGGGCTAAATTTTACACTCGACCATATACTTGTTCTGCAATCTTCCACAAATTCAGAATCTTTTCAAAACTTAATTGTCCTGTAAAGGGACCAATTACACATACCTACTAGGACAATTATTAAAATTAAAAGCATTAAAGTATGCAGAAATCCTACAATACTTTGTTATAACAAGCATTTATTAAGTACCTGCCCCCTTTCCTCTCTCTTTTACTTGATTGAGTAAATTCCTTTGCAATAGTACCTTCTTTGGTCATAGCCCCTTTCCCAGGTCTCCACAGGAATTCTCTGTAAATTTGTTTTTTCTGCCTTTCATTTCTCTATAGGTTCAAGAGTATAGAGAAGCTCTTGAAGCAGTTCTCATTAAGGGCAAAAACGGAGTTCCACTTCTGCCAGAGTTGTACAGTGTTCCCCCCGACAGGGTAAGTTGGACAGTGCTGTAGCAGTGACCAGAAGAGGAGCCATGTCTCCATAGGACTTGCTCATTTGAGTCAAATAATTTTTAATTTTCTGATAATAATGCTCTTAAGACTTGTTTTTAGGTATAACACAATAGGAAAATGACTTTATTCTTTTAAAAATAAATCATTAAAGCATTTGCAGTTATGGTACTGTTGCACACCAAGTTAAGGTTAAGGCCAAACCTTAATGCTGAGAAAAACAGAGATCAATAGTATAACTCCATTGATGATCTGTATGAGCGCTCAGGATTTTGAATTCTCAGCTTTGAGGCCAGTCACCTGAGATTGTTTGAGTAGATCATACTTGGAAAACGATGTGCTGTCTTCATTTTCCAAAAATGCCAATTGAGAATACCATTGTTAGTCTTTTCTATTGTGAAATATAATTAAACATGAAAGAGGTATAATTTTTAATTCTTGTGGGGCTGGAGAGAATAAGCTCCTAGAAACATCAGCAGAATTACTGAGAGTTGTTAAACTTAGAAATCAGGTCCTTCCATATACCTATTGAATCAGAATTTCCATTTAAGTAAGATCCTGAGATGATTTGTATACACATTATAGTTTGGGGATCTTAGGAATGCTACCCTAGACCATGGAGCATTTTCTTTCATTTTGCAGGCTAGGGATGGAATTCTGGACCTGGAGCACACAAGGCAAGTGCTCTACCACATAGCTATATCTCCAACCATACACTGTTGCTATAGTTCTTAACTTCTCAGTGAATTGCTTACGTAAATAAATAGGGAAGGAATAAATATCTAGATTCAACCTTTTATTATCTAGTATCTTAACCCTTCTGTTACCTCTCATATGACCTTTACGTCTTTTTTTTAGGTTGATGAAGAGTATCAAAACCCTCATACTGTGGACCGAGTCCCTATGGGGAAGCTGCCTCATATGTGGGGTCAATCTCTATATATTTTAGGAAGCTTGATAGCAGAGGTAAGCCAATCACTTTTTCTGCCTTAGTCACCGAAAATTAGACTTGTGAGTGGCTCATTAAAACTGAGGATGTCATTTGCCTTTTGCTTTAAATATAGCTTTGGTTGGAGGTTCTCAGAGTGGGGAGTATGGCCAGTACTTAACAAAAATCACCTGCTGCCTGGCAGCCAGGTCCCTCATAGTGCCCAATTTCAGCATTATTATTTGAAGCAGCTTAGGAATCATACCCTGGATCTTTCCCTTCCAAAACTTTCCTTGGTGTCTTGCCTGGCGATTAACTGTAATTGTGCTTAATAATTACTGGCAGTGAATTAAGTACCAACCTTCCCAAGCAACATAATATTAAATTCTTTAATTTAATTAACTAGCTATGTTTAGGAACCCTGAAAAATGTTCAGGAACACTGTGGTCTTTTTGTTTGGTTGTTTGGATTTTTTTGGGTTTTTTTGTAAGAGATGTTCTAAATATTTCTTATATCAAATTATGAGAAAGGCCTTAATGAGCCACTTCTGACTTTATATACAGCTTCTTTGTGGCATTTTGAGCTTTTTCCAGTTATCCAGGTTTACTGGCAAATTTGTTTCCCCACTATAGGTTACTTTGATATGATAAAATCCAAGTTCCTAGTAGATCTAGTTTGGTACTTAGCTGTCTTTTCTGAGGACAGATGCTTTGACTTGTTTATAAATGACTCAGTTATTTTCTGGAGAAGTTTTTGGTTTTTTTGTTTTATTTTTTTTCCCTGTATCCATGGCTGTTCAGTTATCTTTAGTAGACATGAACGTGAATCTAGCAAAATAGGCAGAATGAATGTTTAAAGTAGTCCTTCCCTGGTAACTTGTTCATCCATTTGCAATAAATTAAATGTAATGAGAAAAGGAGATGAGTGGTATTCTTAAAGACAAATGGTTATATTCATCCCATTTTATAATGAAGAGAAACTCAAGTCATAAGACTTCTTTTGAGTCAAAAGCCCAAGAAACAGAAGAACAAATCAGACAATAACAGGACTAATAAATTATTGATAATAGGCATTGTGGTCTGATCATTTTAATATGGGTCATCATATGTATACCCAGAGAGTAATTAAAACCTGGTTATTTAAAACTTCCTTAAAGGATTTCATGGCAATTGTTAGAAATAAACTTCAGATTAAATTAATTGGGGCATGAATTTGGGAATTCAAACATTTTCATACAAGGAAGTTATTTGTTTCTTTTCTGATGTTTTCCCTAAAACATTAGATTTTTCATTTGTTTGAGATTTAATATTCTGTCCTTTTGGGGGGTCTTTAGGGATTTTTAGCTCCTGGAGAAATTGATCCCTTGAATCGTAGATTTTCTACTGTACCTAAGCCAGATGTCGTGGTTCAAGGTATGTATTCTTATTTCCAGCAGCAGAAATTGTCTATTAAAGTTTTAGCTAAGGTGTGAGATATTTGAGCCAGTAAATTATACATTTATTCTTCATTTTGTTTTTTGTTAAGTGTATAATTAACCTGGTTCAGATTGATTTCAAAATTACTGTCAATTTGAAAATGGGAGTGTTGGCATTTACAGTAATCTCAGCTCTCAAGAGGCTGAAGCAGGAGAATTGCTGTAAATTCAAGACCAAACTGAGCTACATAGTGAGTTCCAGGCCAGCCTGAATTGCATAACAAGACCCTTTCTCAATAAAACAATCAAACAAAAAGTACTATTAATCATAAATAAATGAATGACATGCAATGTTGTAGGACTCCAAAATAATACTTAGCACTCCTTATTTCTGGAATCTCTTTCTTTTAATTGTTATGATGTTTTAGCCTCCCATTTCTCTCTGTTTTCTGAAACCAATTTCCATGTACTTTTCAGCTAGTACTTTCTTTTCATGTCCTCTGTTTAATTTTATAGTTAGTCTCATTCCTTTCTTTATTTACATGTATCCATGTATTCATTTGCTAAGGCTATCTCCCTCATAATAAATTTGCTTTTGATCATTGCCTCTTTGAAGAGCATGCCTACTTTGAAGAGCTTACTAATATAGTAAGCTTCTCATCACTGAGACACAATACCACACACACATGCACACATGCAAACACACAGACACACACACACACACACACACACACACACACACACATACTTTAAAGGAGGAAAGATTTAATCTAGCTCAAGCTTTCAGCGGATTCACTCCGTGGTTAAAGAATCTAAGGATTCATACCAAAAGGGCACAGCAGAGCAAAGTTGTTTAGTTCATGGCAGCTGGAAAACAAAGCAGAGGAAAAGCACCAAAGAAAAATGGGTGAGGAACCATGTAGACTGCTGAAGTTATACTTTCCTTACCAACCCAGACACACACCCATGAATGTGCTTTACTAATCTACTAGGGAGTTTTTAATCCAATGAAGTTGATATACCAGGATTAATGATCACAATCCACCCTTTGTCAACTTTATACCAAAACGTATGTCCTTAAACTACATTTAATCTCCAAATAAAGATAATAGTGAGTTCACAATTACACCTGACATAATTAACTATGCCACATGCAGCCAGAAATGCAATAATCTCTCCCCCAATAGTACTGACATTTTTCAAGTCCAAGTATCTCTAGAAACTCAGGGCAAAGTCTTAGCTGTGAACCTCTGTAAAAGTTTAAAAACAAGTTACATAATCCCAAGGTACAATGACAGAGGATAAAATTCCATTCCAAAAGGGAAGCATAAGAAGATGGAAAAGAATTGGGCCAAACAAGACCAAAACCCAGTAGGACAAACATTAAGTCTTGTGGCTTTATATCTGGCATCTGGGGCATTTGTGATAAAATGTGATTTCCAAAGGCTTTGGGTAATCTCACTCCTGTGATCTTTCTGGTTGCAGTCCACATGACCTCTCTCTTAGGCTGGCTCTATTCATGACCTCTGACTTCTCTCCACAGAAATGTTATGTTCCTGTATATCTAACTTCCTAGGGTCTCCACCGCACCTTTATCTTCATTCCCACAGCTTCACATACTGTCTGTCCTCTCAGGAGCTCCTTCCCTAGGTTCCCTGGCCTTCCTTTGAAATCTGAGAGGAAGCTTTCTTGACACCCCCCCCCCACGACTCTTGTATTCTGCATGATGGTAAAACCAGTATCATGTGAATGATGTCAAGGTTTTTCAACAATCTGGGCAGTAGCCAACCACTTTGCACCATGGCAACAGCAGTCTCTGAGTACCTGGATAACAGAACACAGTGAAGTGAATCCCAGGGAACCAACTCCCTAATAGAACCTTCTCAAGAAGGGATGCCTGGGAGATCTCAAAAGAAAGGTTGTAATTTTTGCATCTTTTAATCTGCAATGGCTGATATCTTTCTGATTCCTGAGATTCCTTCAAGGCATCTTTGTTCTTGTCCCTGTACAAAGTACTTGATTTCATTTAATGACATAGATCTCTAGTACTTCTAGTGTACCCACCAGAAAAATTATAATCCTTAATTACTCTTAAAGTTTATATTTTGTGATCCCATACTTGGCTTCCTAAAAAGCTACTGGAAAAGAAAATCACACAAATAAGAACATCAGTGACCTACTTAGGAAATTTATGATCACCTACTCAGCTAGGTCCATAGTGCTTCCTATTAGTTCCTGTTCTTTTCTTTAGGCAGAATTTCCTTTTTTAAAAAAAAATATTGTACATGTTTGAAGCACATGAAGTTTACATTCATCTTAGAGAGCAATTACAGGTACATAATACATTTGGATCTTTTCTATTCCCCTTTCGATCAGGGATCTGGCCAAGATCCCCAACTGCCTGTATGAGGGGTACAGCAAAAGGATGAAATAAGAAACAGAGACAAATTTAATAATGCATGACAGGGGGACTGGATGGTCAATGCCTCAAGATGGGCAAAGACAAAGCTAGCCACTATTTATTGGGTATATATTGTGATCAGAGGGATGACTGGAAGACTCAGAGGGTGACAGTCACCTTACACTAATGAGGATCTTTATATTGATGAGGGCAGTGGGGAGAAATGTCAGGGTAAGAAGGAGTTTGTCCTTCCTCCAAAGTGAAACCCTATTGTGGTTACTACTGGGTCACAAGGAACCAGTATGTCTTTAGCTGATGTAATCTTGCTCTGGGTCATCACAGCATCACAGGACCATTGAGCCCTCAATTGTGACTGAAGGCACTTGGAATCACATTCCCACATACCATAGCCAGCCTACATAGCAAGGAACTAGGCCTCAGACAAGCCCTAATCACAATTTAATTGTGAAATTATTTTCCCAAAAAATTATGCAGAATGGTCCACCTTTCCCTTCCCACTTCCCTCCATCTCTAGCTCCCCTTTCCCCATTTTCATTATTATTGCTGCTATTATTATTATTATATTATTATTAGCTCATGTTTATGACATATAATGCTTACATTTATTGTGGGTATTTGGCACCTATACATGACACACTTTAAATTTTGTATTTTCCTTTACTCTCCCACCTCCTCCTGCCTCCCCTCACAGTCTCTTGGACCCCTTCTTGTTTGCAAAAGATCTACTTCAATGTTTTCTTCTATCCATCCTTTATTTGGCTCTTTATTCATACTTTGCATTTCTCAAGTGAGAGGTACATTATGATATTTAAGCTTGCCTATCTGATTTATTTCACTTAACATATTTTCCAAGTGTATACATTTTCTCACAAATCTCTTGAATTTATTCTTCTTTATAGCCAAAAAATATTCCATTATGTATGGATACCACATTTTCTTTATCCATCCATCTTTGATGAACTTACAGGCTGCTTCCAGGATTTAACTATGGTGAACGGTGGTGCTATAAATATGGGTATGAATGTGTCACTGTAATATGATGGCTTTAGCTCTTTGGAGGAAGATACATAGAAGTACAATAGCTAGACCAAAAGGAATTTCTATGTTTAGTTCTTTGAAAAATCTTCATACTGTTTTCCATAATGGTTGTGCTACTTTACATTCCGACTAATGTTGTAGGAGGGTTCCTTCTTCATTGCACCCCATTAGCATTTGTTATTATTTGATTTCTTGATAATGGTGATTTTTCCTGGCATAAGGTAAAATCTTAGTTTTGTTTTAAATTGCACAACTCTAATAGCCAGAGCATTTTTTTCATGTTTATTGGTCATTTGTCTGTCTTCTGAGAAGTATCTATTCATTTCACTTTACCATTTTTTATTCTCAGTTTCAAACTTTCTCTGTTTTCAGGCTAATTCATGACCTGCCTTCTTATGCCTGATCATCTTTTTTTATACAGACATTTAAATTTATATATATATATATGTATATATATATATATATATATATGTAATACACATTTTATTTTATTTTATATTATTTTATTTGTCTTTTTCCTTTTTATCGGTACCGGGGATCGAACTCACGACTGCCTGCTTTCAAGGCAGGTGCTTATGCCACTGAGCTAAACCCCCAGCCCCGTAATACACATTTTAAATCTTACAAGTTAAATATAAAATTTCAATGCAAAAATTTCAGTGCATATTTATATCCAGTAAAGAAGGATAAATTGTTAAATGTAGCTCTAGTGACTATGACTTTGCACTTTTCTTTCATATCTGCAGAGTTCTTTTTTTTAAAGAGGGCAAAATTAAACAGAACAAAACAGATCATAAGATAACAATATAAGAGACACAGATTTCAAAGCAAGACAACCAGAGATATTCACTGTCTATGATATTGTCTCTTGTTTTCTTCCAAATAGTTGTCCATATCTTCACATACAATGAGTTCATACAAAACAAAATATTATAGAACTGACCAGAAAAGGATGATGAAGGCATGTTAGGTTTTCAAGACCAGACAATGAGGAAGTCAACAATGGCGGCCATGATGTCTCTCATTCTCTTCAAAATAGCTGTCCATACCTTCATGTATGTTGAAATTAAAACACAACAGACTAAAATATCTCTGAACAATGAATAATAGTATTATTAGATTTTGCATCATAACCCTTTGGAATCAGCACTGGGTACCTTAGTGTCTCTTTTTCTTCAAAGTAGCTGTTCATTTCATCATGCATTATATTATCAATTCTCATAAACTTTTTAGAAGTTCTATGTATGCATGAGTCTCTACATGTATACCTATCCTTTTTGTATTAGAGAAAACAAAACAAAACAAATTCCCAGAAAAACACAAATTGAAAAAGACATATAAACGACAATAGCAAAGAGCCCAGAACACTGACAATATCAAAACAAGGTGGTATGAGCATATCAAAGATAACATGACTAAGTGTATTTGTAGTAGTAGTTGTATCTTCTACTCTATTCTATTGATCTTCAGGTTCATGCCTGATCATCTTAATATTCTGATCTTCATAAACTTCCCTGTCCTCCTCACCATAACAATTC